TGGTAAATGGACTGTATTTATATAGCGGCTTTTTACACAATGTGTTGCGCTGGCCAAAGCGCTTTACAGGAGACGATACACCATTCCAGCATCCAGCATATATTAACACAATGATAACGACAGGCTGCCAGACAACGGCGCCAGTTAAGTCACCAGGAGCAATTGTTGTCCGTAGCAATAAATAATAGATAGTGAAAATATGACGTGCCTCACAGATGACTGTTGTAGTGTAACATAACATAGGTTTTAAGTGTGATGTTAATAATAAAGATATAATAGGATGTATATGTGTATGAGGAATTCATTCATTCATTCATTTTCTGCCGCTAATTCCAAGGGGTGCGGGGGGGGCGGCGGGGGGGTTTGGAGCCAATCCTAGCCGGCAGGCAGGAGATGGCGGAGTAACAGATCGCCGGTCCATCGCAGTGTATAACGAATTGAAAAATTAAAACTTTATTCTTTTGTTGACAAGAAGCTAAGTATTACAATAGAACTGACTAGTCAAAGTGATACTAGTCATATTAATGAATTCATAATGAAAAACTATTCATTGCAAATGAGAATGTAAGATATAAAGAAAACACAGTGAAACGTTATTGACAAAAAAACTGTAGCGTCGTGGAATGTATGGAAAAAAATGTTTTTATTTTGATGACACTGATAAAACTTTTTCTTTGTCTTTGTGTTTCTTGCAGTAGCTTGTCTAAGCATAATTTAGGACAGCATTTTCCTTAATGTAAGGTAATTATCTTTTTTGATGATTTCAGTTTTATACTGAGTGTAAGTTAAGAATATTAGACATTTGTGAATGTATTGTGCAGTATAAATGTGTTTACCATTTATTGAAAAACTTGTTTAAAAAGTTGAAAAAGATTACAAGGAGGAGCAAGAAATATTTTTACCATTTTAACCATCTTTTAATGGAGATGTTATATAACCAGTGTAGCAGCTGGTTGTTTTCATATAAGTGTATGTACACTATTTCTCATGTTTTGCCAATTTAACAAAGATTACCAGATATTTCAATATTTTATATGGAATTATAATATTTTACATACATTGATTGTTGTGTGCCAAAGAGCACGTGTGATGGTTATACTTTGTCCTTTTTATATGAGGCTTCATAAGTACTAGCTATTACAGATCAGGAAAATGCAGCAAAAACTGTAGACACAGACTGTAGACATATCATAGTTGTTGAGCTATGAAGTTGTGTTTAAATAAATTAAAACATTTTTTTAACAGGTGTACAAAGTAAAGGCTGTAGTATGTAGTATAAACAAAGCAGAAAGACATCATTTATCTTTATATGTATATCTTATAAATGGGCAGGAAGATCAAGAAGAGTTTATTTCCAAAGTGACTATATACTTACAGTAATACAAAGTTTAACGTGCAATAGTAGTTTATCTAATTTTGTTTGTGTTTGTTTTGTTATTCCAGAATGGCACTCCATCAATTGTTGATGACCAAGCCAGACACCCCATATTTCAGACCACCACAGTTACACATTTGTGTGGTGGCAGTGGCTGACAGGCCCAAGGTGGTCTCCTGGAAATTTCAGGAAGATACAGCATATCCAGCTGTAGTCAAATCAAATAAAGTTGCAGCAATTTCTGATGGTCACTCTGTTAGCAAAATAACAGTGTTTGAAGAGTTTGCCTCCCGATTTACAGAGGGTAAATCATACATCCTGAAAGGCCACAACCTGATGGGCAAGGAACCCCCGTACACCATCGCCATTAACAAAAAGAGCTTGTTTTTTCGCACTGGTGCACTGCACATTAATGAAGATCTAAAAAAAGAGGCTGCAGAACTTATTTACCCTAGCTCAATTGAGACCAACTTGGCAGATTGTGAACAAAGTCAAGGGCTTATAACTGTACAAGGAGAGATAGTTGGGGTAAGTAGGTGTTTTGATGCAATTGTGTATGTTAAAAAGATTTTGTATAGGTTACAGTGTTGAGATTTGTTTTGTTCAAAGACAAATTAAGAAGTGGGCTTTTCACTTTCTACTTAAAGTTAAACAGTATAAGTAGAACAATACCAGCTTTTGTAAAGTACACACTTGGCTTGCTATTCAAAAGTTAACTGAATGTGGTGTATATTTGGTGTTAAAGCAAAGGAAATAAAATAAAAGAAGCAATTAATTAATGTTTTTGTGTTAATCTAATTTTATTTTCAGGTGTCTGCGCTAAAATGCATTTGGAGAGGAAGAGAAGCGATACCACTGAGGAACATTCTTTTGCAGAAGGTAGGCTTCGTATATGTTGCAATGATGCCATTGCAGGCTGTTTTTGAAATCTTGTTAATGTAGTATATGTTAGAATATTTTGTGCGTTTTATGCATCACTAACAGTAATCTACATATCATCAATATTTTTTGGTTATTTTTTTATACAGGAATCAAGAAAAGTTTCCTTATCCCTGTGGCGAGAGGCATCAGTCTCAGAACACCTGCAGATGGGATCTTCTGTCAAACTATCTCATCTGAAACCTGCAAACTCTGATTATGGCTTTAATCTGAAATCGACTAACTTTACAAAGATTGAGGTAAATTTAAAAAATATGTTAAACATAGTAGTATTGATGTTGTATTTAGAAATGGATAACAGGTAATAACAGTGATACAAGAGTAATGGAAAATATAAAGAAAGATAGATAAAAAGTAAACTATGTTGTGTGGTGGTGAAAAATATAGTTTGTAACAATTGGCGATAAAGGGATAGCATCTAACAATACCAAATGTCTCAATAGAAAAAAAAAAAAAAAGGCGAGGCAGCCGTAGCCATGGGTGTCACAGTGGCTGAAGACAAAGGTGTCCTTGAACTGCTGTTGAAGGATAGCCGCATTGTCACCATTGATGAAAATCTGTAGCAGCCATTTCATGAACTAATTTGCACTGAAGGAATACCAATAAAATTGGACATGTTAGAAGAGAAAGTGATGCACATTTAGATGGACATGGATGACATAGGTGTAGATGAGTAGTGGGGCATGTACAAAAAATCGTCAATATGGTTGTTTTTGTAGTTTGTAAAATATGTGAAGTAGTAGTGTGGTGTATGTTTTTTGTTCTGTTAATAAAAAATTAAAGTAATATTTTTAAATAGTAAACTTTTAAACTGTATTTGTAACTATTTAGATGTGAATTTTTGTAGTTTAAAGAGTCTTACCTTTAGAAATATTTATTATTATTCAGAAGTTTTATTGGTTAAATGTTATAATATATGTTAGATGGACATGGATGACATAGGTGTAGATGATGAGTAGTGGGGCATGTACAAAAAATCATCAATATGGTTGTTTTTGTAGTTTGTAAAATATGTGAAGTAGTAGTATGGTGTATGTTTTTTGTTCTGTTAATAAAAAATTAAAGTAATATTTTTACATAGTAAACTTTTAAACTGTATTTGTAACTATTTAGATGTGAATTTTTGTAGTTTAAAGAGTCTTACCTTTAGAAATATTTATTATTATTCAGAAGTTTTATTGGTTAAATGTTATAATATATGTTAGATGGACATGGATGACATAGGTGTAGATGATGAGTAGTGGGGCATGTACAAAAAAT